GTTGATCCGATAAACACTGACGTATGAACCACTGACGTATGAACTTATCAACCCATCAACCCATTAACCCAATCAGTCTGACTCTACTACTGGGAAAATGGGTTAATGGACAGGGGTTATAGGGCCAAACGGACTGGGTGAATGGCTGAACCCTGGTTGAGGTAAAAAATGTACTCAGGACGGTGTTCTTTGCTCCGTGGTGTTTTTGACGTTAGCTTCCTGAGTTCCTGGTGAAGGATAGGAAAACAAAAGGGTCTTCGTTTGACGGGGTCTACAAGGGTCAAAGCCCAAACCAGCGTATGGCCGTAGGGGATTTGAAGCTTGAACACACAGGTTTGGAGGACAGAATCCCTAAACCCTAAACCCTAAACCCTAAACCCTAAACCCTAAACCCTAAACCCTAAACCCTAAACCCTGTCAGATTTGCAGTCTGCATGAGACTCCATTGCCAGGGCCCTGTCGACTCAAGAGGCTATTGGGGCATTGAGAGAAAGACCCGAAACCCCGAGAAACACCCACGCCCTCCAACACTACGACCGAAACGGTATTGCCCTAAGCCCGAAAGCCTCTAGACCAGAAACCCTAAAAACCTCGAGTCTCAACTCCACGTCGCCCGACAGCCCTGAAAAAAAAAAAGCTCCAAAGCAAGCCAAACCCGGATAACCCCTAGCACCCCCCCACAAAAACTTACAGCCCCCTAAACTCTCAAACCCGAGAGACCCGCCAGCCCGGACATCTAGGGGTTGCACCGTTGTACCTTGGACCCTGAAGCCTGTACCCTTGCGTTTTGGGGGCCCTTGGTAAAGATCCTAAGGTAGCATAATTAAGGGCCATATTGGGGAGAACATTAGGGGCGAGTCTGTTGAAGGCCTGTCTTCACGCCCTAAGCAACAAAAAATTGCCCAAGCTCTAAACCCTACAACCCCTGTGATCCCCTACAACCCCTCCAACCTCACAACCCATCATAGCACAATTCCTTGTAACGTCTACCTGCTAAACCCTGGAACCTATATTACCCCTAAACCCTAAGCCCTAAGCCCTAAGCCCTAAGCCCTAAGCCGTAAACAATACAAGACTAACTTCTACAACCCGCAAGCACAAAGTTGCTGTCCCAGGTGCTTTCGAGCCCAGGCGTCTTTGGCCCTGGGGTCGGGCGTCCTTAATTTCACCCCCGCCCCCTGAAACAAAGTCACAGAAGAAGAACCATCAACAAGCAACTGCGTGGCTGAACTTTCAGTGGTTCAAAGCTGCACCCTAACCCTAAAACCCTAAACCCTAAACCCTAAACCCTAAACCCTAAACCCTAATCCTAAATCCCTAAACCCTAAACCCTAAACCCTAAACCCTAAACCCCAACCAAACCGGAAAAAATGAAACAGAAGCTTCGGACAATTTGAAGCCTGAGCTTCAGCAAAGCCGAGGTGGGGATGCGATGGACCCAGGTCATGTTGAGGTTGCCGAGTGCGGGCGCCTTGGTGCTTCAGAATTTGAGGGTTGGAGGGGTTGGAGGGGTTGGAGGGTTTGAGGTGTTGAGGGTTTGAGGTGTTGAGGGTTTGAGAGTTTCAGGGTTTGATGGGTGTGACTCTTTGGGATTTACGGCTTAGGGTCTGAGGATGTATTTGAACTGTTCATGGGTCGTTGAAAGTAAAGCGGGAAGTAAAGAAGGTAACCTAAGCGAGAGTGCTAGTTCAACAACTCGCTAATTCATTGTAGAACCTTCCTTATGAACTACACCCTTGAGCCTGGAAGTACGTTTAGGGTTTTGGGATTGAGGATTGAGGGTTTAGGGTTTAGGGCTTAAGCCTTGTAAGGGTGGGAGAGTCAGAATGAGGGTCCAACGGTTCAGGGTTTGAGAGTTTGAGGGATTCAGGCTAGGACCATGAAGTGGCAGCAGATGTCTGAGGAATTGGGGAACCCTCCAAACCCCAAAGCCTACTGCAAACCCTAGAAACCCGAAACCCAGCCCTAGCTACATCGGTTGGAGATCTGTGAAGCTTCCCCGCGTTTTTTTGGTTTATTGGGGGGTTTAGGGGTTTTTTTGGGGCGGTTTAGGGCCTTAGGGGGCTTAGTGGCTTTGGAGGTTTAGGGGGGGGGGGGGGTTAGGGGGTTTTAGGTTTTTTTATTATGTTGATACCTAATATCCCCACATGTGTATCTATATATATATGTGATTATACCCATCAAATTGTTATTAGCAGGACTCACAAACAAAAACCCTGCAGCCACAGCGGTTTAGGACTTAAGGTTTAGGGTTTAGGGTTTGGGGTTTGGGGATCAAGTCACCATCTCAAGGTCGCAAACCCGGACACGGTTCAGCTGGATGTTCCATCGAGCTTAGGTTTCAGGACTTATGAGTCAGTTTACTAGCATGGGCATTATGCCCCATAAGCCGGTAACAAGGCCCTGTACAGGGTTGGTTAGGGGGATTAAAAGGCCCAATGGCCCATGCCCCATGCTGGTACTAGCAGGTTTTAATCACAGCTCGCACGAAGCGCGCTGGAGTTTAGGCTCCTGTATCAAGGTACCAAGCCAAACTCCGTCCTCGGCATGCGAAAGGTCCCGTTGTTGGGAAACCTGCAGCCAGAAAGCAACTGTGGGCTCGTCTGGCGAGTGGAAGTTTTGGTCTAGTCTAATCTTAAGTTTAGGGTAGGCCGGCTTAGGGTTATGTAGGGGATTGGGGTTTAGGGTTTAGGTGCGTTGTTTGGGGTCTGCGAATCCCAGGTTGGTCCGACGAAGGGACAGGGTGCTGCTGCAACCCCTTGACAAGTGCATGGTAGACCCCAACCAAGAAACAGGAAGCGTAGCGCTGCCCGCATTTGTCCACGCCCCCCCTACGCTTGTTACGAACAAGCCTCCCGAAACCCTATACCGCAGCCTAAACTTGAGTTAGCCCCTATAGACACTAAATCCTACGATGCCGCCGATGACAAGTGCGCCGTCCACCCATAAGTGGAATTCTAGGGGCCCCATACTTGGTTCACAGAAACTCTGCCGACAAGGACACAACCCCCCCAGTTTTTTGGTTAGAAGTATTCTATCTTAGGTTGCAAGTCCAATCGAAGAGGAACTACCCCTAAACTGGAACCATCGCCTTGCCAGTAGTTTGGTACGGGGAAGGGGGCCCTCATTGTACAGACGCCTACACCCTGAACATCACTTTACCCACCCTAAACCCTAAACCCTAAACCTTAAACCCTAAACCCTAAACCCTAAACCTTAAACCCTAAACCCTAAACCCTGAACCCTAAACCACACCTTTTTGCTGTGCAACATCATTCATGTTCCATCCTCAGCTTTGTAGATGCCCGGGAACTTCTGACGTCTAGACCCCGGAGGAACCTAGGAATAAAAAAAGGTGCCCTTTTGGTTATTAAGGGGCTTACAAGGGAACCTAAGCCCGCAACAAAAAGGGAATCAGGGCCCTACTCTGGGTTCCTAGGAAGTTGTCTCGTCAAAGCGACCTTCCCGTCGTAGCCGAGCAGCGGGTAGCAGTTCATCTCTCCGCCCAGCACCACTGGCCAAACCTGACAGCCGCCCCCGCAGGCCCAAGGCACCTAGCTCTTGGCTACGTCGGATCCTTACTTTGGGATGTGGGGGATTTACGAAAAATCAAGGGCCCCTAATATATAGACCCTAAATAGCAGGATTCCCTTTTTCATACGGACCCCCCAAGAAGGTAACCCCCAATTTCGGAAATTCCATTCGCAACGCTGCATCCTAAGCTCTGAACCCACCTACGGGGTCAGAAGGCTCGGCAAGCTGCCATCAGGGTGCTATGTGCATTTCGGCCCGAAGTCCCGTTTCTTCAGGTTCGAATCCTAGGGTCCGGCTTCGCAGCCCTCGCGGAAGATAAAGGCATTGCTGTAGGGTTTAGAGCTTAAAGCTTTTGCGCTTTGCTTTTGAGGCTTTCTGGGGCGTACCTCATTTTTGGTGGCAGGCCCCGGGGAATTCGGGGAGCGCTGGCCTGCGGTTTCTCGACATGTTAACTGTGCGAATTTCGTGTTCCATGCCATGACGACAATGGACGGAAACATCCTGGAGCAAACAACGTTGACCCTGCCACTTCAGGCAATAAGAACTCTTGTTGTTGCAACCCCTTTTCCAATAGGCTACGTGAGTGCAACCGTCTGCATCTTCCTGTTTCGTGGAATTTTAGGCCTTCATGTTGCGTAGTAGTTGAAGCTTCGGGGATTGTCGAAGGGAATCAGCTCAACACCCAAAGTCCCGATGCCTCTCTAAACAGTTTCTAGAAGCAAAAACCCTTAACAATTTCGTAAACCCTAAACCCAACCCTAAACCCTAAACCCTAAACCCTAAACAACGATCTTAACCCAACCCCGAACCCAAGAACGTCCGGGCATGAATGAGGGCCGAGCTTCGAGGGGTTTAGGGTTTAGGGTTAGGGTTTTAGGGTGTAGGTTTAGGGTTGAGGGTTAAGGGTTTAGGCTTTAGGGTGTAGGGTGCATGAGGCTTTCGGGTCTAGGGCCTAGGTTTTAGGGTTAGTCAGTCGGTTTACGGTTTGGGGTTCAGATCTGATTCTTTAAAGGTCCAAGCTACAAATCAAGAGGTTGCCTTGTAAGAGAGCCCTGAAGCAAGCATCAATGCTGTGACGATGGGCTCCTGTGCGCTGCGCTTCGGGCGCGGCCAACTCTTCATACGCGACCACCATGTCCTCGAGCGAGCCTTGTGGTGTGACTGGGCTGCTGCTATAAGGAAGATGCATGTACTCATGATACACAGTATACTACGGGATCCTTCTCAGAGTAACTGAAGTTCGGGTCCTGAGACTTAACACCCCCCACGCGCTGGGTCATGCGGCAAGCAAGCCTACTTGATAACCCCATGCTGCGCTTACACCTTCTTAGCTGCATGCCCTTCATGTCTTTCATTTCCCCAGCAGACCTTGTCATGGCGATGTCACGTGCAGGCATCTGCGGGAAGCCCCCCGACCTAACTCTAATAAAAGCCGAAGGCCAGCCACAGCTTCGTCTTTGGCGTGGCTAGGCAGCTGACACCATGCCTTGCAGAATCTTCAAGTTGTCGAAAATGCTAATGTCGTACAATGCTAGACTTCTGGAAAAGTCATTGGCTTTTCTTCCAAATGCCAAAAAAGCCTTTGAAACGGCAACTGAAAAAACGGCGTCGCCCGCATCATCCAGGACCTTGATTGGCTCGAACTTTTCGGAATCGTAGACGCGCACCTTGGCGTCTCCGCTTCCGCTTGCCAGAAAAGTCTCTGAAAAAGCAACTGATCTAACCCAGCCGCCCGCATCATCCAGGACCTTGACTAGCTCGAACTTTTCGGAATCGTAGATGCGCACCTTGGCGTCTCCGCTTCCGCTTGCCAGAAAAGTCTCTGAAAAAGCAACTGATCTAACCCAGCCGCCCGCATCATCCAGGACCTTGACTAGCTCGAACTTTTCGGAATCGTAGATGCGCACCTTCCTGTCATCGCTTCCACTTGCCAGATGAGTCCCTGAAAAAGCAACTGATCTAACAAAGTCGCCCGCATCATCCAGGACCTTGACTAGCTCGAACTTTTCGGAATCGTAGATGCGCACCTTCTTGTCATCGCTTCCGCTTGCCAAATGAGTCCCTGAAAAAGCAACTGAAAAAACTTTGCCGCCCGCATCATCCACGACCTTGACTAGCTCGAACTTTTCGGAATCGTAGATGCGCACCTTGTTGTGTGCGCTTCCGCTTGCCAGATGAGTCCCTGAAAAAGCAACTGAAAAAACGACCTCGCCCGCATCCAGGACCTTGACTAGCTCGAACTTTTCGGAATCGTAGATGCGCACCTTCTGGTCATCGCTTGCGCTTGCCAGATGAGTCTCTGAAAAGGCAAGCGCCCGCACACTCGCAGTATTCCCTAGCTTGTGAACATACTCGATGCTAAGCTTGTCTGAAAAGTCTTTTCCAGTCGCATGCCCATACTGCTCCGCTACAGCGCAGGCCAGATTGCATGCACTCGCGCTGGCAATCGGTGAGCCGCTGATTGTCATGTCCGTGTCCAGTTTGTAAATAGTGGCCAACTTCACTCCCCCACTTGCCAGCCTTGCCCCTGAGAAAGCGGCGACAGATCCTCTCAAGTCCTGAAAACAATGGAAATCGCGAAGGTCGTACAGGCGCACCTTCTCGTCATCGCTTCCGCTTGCCAGGTAAATCTCTGAAAAAGCAAGTGATACAACAGATTGGCCCGCAACATCCAGTACCTTGATTGGCTCGAACTCGCAGGAATCGTAAATGCGCACCTTGGCGTCTGCGCTTCCGCTTGCCAGATAAGTCTCTGAAAAAGCGACTGAGAAAACGGCCTTGCCCGCATCATCCAGGACCTTGACTAGCTCGAACTTTTCGGAATCGTAGATGCGCACCTTCTGGTCATCGCTTCCACTTGCCAGATGAGTCCCTGAAAAAGCAACTGATCTAACAAAGTCGCCCGCATCATCCAGGACCTTAACCAGCTCGAACTTTTCGGAATCGTAGATGCGCACCTTCTTGTCATCGCTTCCGCTTGCCAGGTGAGTCCCTGAAAACGCAACTGATCTAACCCAGTCGCCCGCATCATCCAGGACTTTGACTAGCTCGAACTTTTCGGAATCGTAGATGCGCACCTTCGCGTCTGCGCTTCCGCTTGCCAGATGAGTCTCTGCAAAAGCAACTGAAAAAACTTTGCCGCCCGCATCATCCAGGACCTTGACTAGCTCGAACTTTTCGGAATCATAGACGCGCACCTTCTCGTCTGCGCTTCCGCTTGCCAGATGAGTCTCGGAAAAAGCAACTGAGAAAACTTTTTCAGCTTCCGCACCCGCCAGTTCCTTGACAACATGGACTTCGTTGAGGTCGTCCACAACCTTTCTCACAACCGGACTGCGTTGAAGGACTTGGATGCTCTCTGGCGAGAGGCCAGTCTGCAAAACCACTTGGAGAACGCAAAGGAAGCTGATCTGAAGCTCAGGAGTCGCATCGAGCAGCAAGGTTGCTGCAAACTCGTGCAGTGCCTGGAGCCTGCTGTGGCTATTGCGGTCGCCTGAGTCACAGGCCTCCAGTCGGATGTTCAACAGCTTACTCACCGGAATGCTCTCGTGCCACCACGCGAAAATTGGCAACTTTGATAGGATCTCATGTAGTATGGTCGGCTGGCACTGGGCAGTTAGCAAAGCTTCCGGCACATAGTGCGACAGCCGCGAAGCCGGAAATCCCAGGGGCAGCGCGCCAAACTGGATGAGCAACTGGACGCATCGGCATCGGTTCTGAAAAATGGCTTCGCCCAAGGGGGATCTTCCATTTAGAGGGTCAGCGTTTGGGTTTGCTTGGAAATCCAAGAGCTGCTCAACGACTTGGTCCACATCCTCGGAGTTGCTGGCGTGGCCGGTCATCGCTGCTCTCAACGGGTCCACACTGCTGCTATCCATAATGTTGGGATTTGCGAGCTTCCCCAGCCACCTTCGCACCTCGCGTGGGTGGCCATCCCGGGCCGCGGCGATGAGCTCCGACCTTTGGACCAGCAGCTTCTCCTTGACAAGCTCCTTAAGTTTCTTCTCTTGCTCCACTAGACTCTCCTTTTCGGAGAGCTGCGCCAGAACTGCAACTGCATTGAAGGCAGCCTGCCCATCCGTCCCATCCGCGGCGGCGCGCGCCGCAAGCAGGCCATGCATCAGAGGTGTGAGGCCATCGTGGTCCTCGAGCGCCAGCTGTGCGAGCGGCCGGCCCTGGTCGTCCTTCTCCGAGAGCAGCGCCCAGGCGGCACGCTCGTGGCCGCCGGCCATGGCCTCGTGCAGGGCCGTGCGGTTTTTGGGATCTCGGTGGTTGATGTCGGCCGCAAACTGCAGGAAAATGCGGACCAGGGCCGCGCTGCCGCTCCGGGCGGCCTGGTGCAGCACCGGGGTCTTCCGGTCGTTCAGAATCTTTTTGAGAGTTTCGTCGGCCTGCCAGGACTGAAACCCTGAAATCCTAAACCCTTTTGCAACTGGCTTGCAAAGTCATAAACCCTAAACCCTAAACCCTAAACCCTAAAACCCTAAAACCCTAAAACCCTAAACCCAAAACCCTATAAACCCCAAAACCCTAAACCCCTAAACCCTAAACCCTCGGCCTGCTGGCCCAGGTTCTTTTGGCCCCACGCCAAGATGGCTTGGCAGCGCTCCGGGCTGAGCTCGGCCACTGCGGCCAGCAGCTCCCGGCGCACCTCGAAGTCCCTGTGGCCGGAGTGCTCCTTCGCATAGGGGCCCCTAGTTCTACATAGGGTTAGGGGCCCCCAGTTATAAATAGGGTCATAAGGGCCCTACACTGAGTTATAAGTTTTATTGTTAGGTTAGAATTCCCCTGAAGTTAGTATGAGTAGGGGGGGCTCCTTCTCATACGGGTATATAGGGTTTCCCTGACTGCACTAACTTTCTAGGACCCAAGTGCATAATATGCATATATAACCCCATTTAGAACATAGGAGGGCTCCTTCACGTAGGCCATGACGTCGGTGTTCAGCTGCAGCTCACAGACCATGCCCTCGATGCTGATGGTCAGCTGCAGGTCCCTGTAGCCGTCCAAGTCCTTTTGGTATCTGTCGTTGAACTCGATAATCCTTGGTAGCCCAGAGACCATATTCTAATACAGGCACCCTTTTTTGGAGTTAGGCACTTTTTCTTTAGAAGGGAACGTTGAACCAAGACAAAGGGGGAAAAAGGGGCACCACTTAGCTAGCAAGAGTCTGGATGTTTGTCTTGTCTGCGCAGACCGCCTCCAAGCCTTTGTACATGTCAGGAATGGACTTGTAAAGGATCGTGGCCCGCACGATGTCCGTCAAGCGATACCAAGCCACGCCTCCCGCGTCTGCGTACTTGAAGGCGGCTTTCGTCTTGCATCTCTCGATGCCCTTCATGCCCGGAATGATCGGCTTGCCGTCCGTCTCCGTGGCTATTCTGTTCACGATCTTGTCGAAAGGCCGTTTCCTGTCGATGTGGAAGGCATACAGCTCCTCAAGCGAGTTCATGTAGGGCTGGTAGTTGAGTTTCAGGCTCCTGGCTCTCCGCGTCGTCCTCTTCATGAAGGCCTCCACCTCCGGATTGATGGCATGTTCCTGGCTGAGCTCTTGGCTCTTGCCCTGCCAGTCTTTCAGGTGCTTTTCGCCCTCCAGCAACTCGAACGCCTTCTGGTAGGTGAAGTCGCTCCACTCATGCTTGGTGGGGGGCACCTGTGCTTCAGCGGAGTCCGTCGCAGGATTCTTGTCGTCCTTCGGCTTCGATTTCCATAACTTCTGCATGCTGGCCTGAGCCTCAGCAAAGCTGGAGGCGTTCATGAAAACATCCAGAGCGGCGCGCAACGCCTGCACCTGACGCGCAAAACACATCAGGGTGCGACTCTGATGTCGGAGCACATGCAATGCAAGCAACTCTGCACATGCGACCATCCCCTTCCGTGGCTGCTAGGTTCACCTAGCACATGTTTAGGGTTTAGGGTTTAGGGTTTAGGGTTTAGGGTTTAGGGTTTAGGGTTTATGCAGAGCCTTACTTCGCTCTGGACCACTCCATCCCCCTTATCACCTGAAAAGCAAGCACCTATCAAGCTTTCCGAATTCACGGAAGAACTGTTCCGAGACACTGGTGCAACGGGGAACCCCAAACCCTAAACCCCAAGCCCTATAGACCCTAGACTCTCAACCCTAACCCTAAACTCTCAACCTTATAATTAAACCCTAAACTCTCTAACCCCATTTCCTTGGGTTCGAGCCCGGGGCCTGGTCTTGGAGATGTTGGAGGTCCTCCTTGAAGCCCATCTGGTTCACGCTCAGCACCGTGGCCGTCGCACCAGCCAGGTCCTGTCTAAAGGACACCAAACAAACCGCCCAAAGCCTACAACTGAGTGGTTCTTCTTAGTCGGGAATGAGGGAATGAGGTACCCTGTATACTCCCTTAAAGGGTCAAAAAAGAGCCCGAGTTCCCTCATTCCCTACGAAGGCCCAAAGCCTATTCTCCCCAAGATGGAGGTCCCTGCACGACCCCCTCGCAAGTTAGGACAAGGGTTTTTGGGCTCATATGGAGAGGAGCCTCAAGAAGGTCCATGGCCCCAAATCTTCCCGACGGGCCTTCTATGTTTCATAGGACCCTAGGATGCTCCTTCTCGGGCGAAGTGATTTACCCTGGACCAGACCCTGCACTACAGGGTTCAGGGTGTAGGATTCAAGGTTGAGGTTGTGGTATTTAGGGTCTAGGGGTGAGGCATATGGGGTACACTTATTTTTCAAAAGCAACATAGTGTCAGTGTTGATGCATATGCTACATCAGCCTTGGCGGAAAGACACCAATATGACACAGCTGAGTAGAACTGTGAATCCAGCACGTATCTGTCATTCGGCAATTCTTGCGGAAGATGAAGACACAGTGCACGACCCGATACGCATCCCCTATATTTCGGCTGGGGATTATTGGGTCCTTCTGCGCCCAACGACGCAGCGCGCCCTCCAGCAAGCGCTCCAGCGACTCTTTGTCGTAGGTCTCTGGGGCCCCGAGGTCTGCCATGAGAGCCTGCACCTCATGGTCTGATAGGACCCCACCCTGGTCCTGCCACAAAACCATCGGTTTGGGGCTTTTGGGGTTTTAGGGGTTGGGGTTCAGGGTTCAGAGTTTAGGGTCTAGGGGTGAGCACATCTCAAGAGTAGCTTGAGTATGTGTTGTGTACGCAAAGCACGTGGCAGTGGCAATTCAACCAACCCTTCTCCTGCAGTGACTCCTGGACAAATCGCACCGCCTGCTCCGCAGACAAGTTGACTTCTTTTGGCATGGCGAGGAAAACTCGGCCTGTCGAGGCAGCTTTGGCCTGTCGACTTCGATCAAGATCGCTGTGATCTGTGTGCTGTTTGCGCTGCAAAACTAAATGATGAAAGGTCTCCCCCTGCAAATTGCACACGCTGCTGGTGTTCCTCCTCATGGGGGAGTTTACACTGTAAGCACGAACAATACATGTTGCATGCAATGCGCCATGCCTGGCGACTAAAGTCTCCCAGCGTGCTCAACCAATGTCACGACGTCGTGAACAAGAGATTCTTGAGAGAGCAAGGTCCGCGACATCCGTTCGGTATCCTTGCCCTAAACCCTAAACCCTAAACCCTAAACCCTAAACCCTAAAACCTAAACCCTAAACCCTAAACCCTAAACCCTAAACCCTAAACCTGCACAACTTAAATACTCCAGTCGTGCATCCCGAGACATGGGAACTGCGGCTCGAGAGCTTCGGCCCCGCCCCGAGAACTTGCGAGAAAGCAAAAGGGATTTAGGGTTTAGGGTTTAGGGTTTAGGGTTTAGGGTTTAGGGTTTAGGGTTTAGGGTTTAGGAATACTTGTAATATCTTGTCATACGTGGCAGATACTATGCAAAAGCCCCATTCCCATGAAAGAAATCTACTGTTTGGGTACATGGATCCTTTGGGGCAGCTATCGACTGTGAGCCCCACATGGATGCTGCAACCGCTCTCCCCAAAAGGCCCAGAACCCTGCGGCCTGCACCCCGAGCCTAAAACCTGAGCACAGGAAGCCACCGACTCGGCACTCCTATTCAGGCGGGCGGCGCTGGAAGAAGAGATCGAAAGCATCCACCACTGCCTGTGCTTCCGCAGTCTAAGCTGTGCGCACGACTGTCAGTTCAGGTTTTCGGGCTGTGGGTTCTAGAGCTTAGGGTTCAGGGTTTAGGTATGTTCTACAGGCAGGGCGGCTTGCTTGGGCTTACCTGCATGGGCTATTACTATTATACCCTAGAATCCCTGTAAAGGGCCCTTTTATAGGGTTGGTTCGGGGGATTATAAGGCCTAATAGCCCCATGCTGGTCAGGTTCAGGGGGTTTGGAGACTATATCCCGACCATGTCTGTTTGCCTGCGCCGGAGGGTCCACGGTGACGAGCAAGAATGGGGATTTGGGTGCAGAGGCCTGAGGCACCTCTTAGGGTTGTTACAGGGTCCCTTGATATGGGCCCTTTAAAGGAGAACCCTTATATACCCCTTATATACCCCAACAAAAACCAAAAAAGGGCCCATACTTCAGAACCCTTTGAATGAAGGTAAGGGACCAAATCAAGGGACCATGTAACCGTAACCTCCCGTACAGGCTTAGCTAAGATAGGGTCTAGGGACCACTCGGGTCGAGGGTTCAGGGTTCCGGCAAGAAATGACTAGAATGCTGTGCCACTGCGCAGCTGCCACCCTCTTAAACGCTTTCTTTATCCTCAACTCTCAGCACTCCCAACCTTGAATGTATGCGGTAGGGTATCGGGGTTTAGAGTTTCGGAATATGGCTTAGGCCTCTGGGTTTTAGGATTTAGGGTTTTGGGGTTTAGGGTTTAATTTAGGGGAACCCTGAACCTTCTATCTGACACCGCGCCCAGTGGCAATAGTCTCGTTGGCCTGGAAACGCCTCAAGGCCCGCCAAAGCCCGTCGGTGAAGAAGCGAAAGAAACTGGGATGGGCTTCTACTAGGGTGTAGACTTAGTTTGTATGAGTAGGGCTCTTGGGGTTTAGGATGGAGGGCCTTTTTGATCTTTATGTATGCGCCTAGAGGGTTTAGGATACAGGGCTTAGGCTTCATGAGTTTGGTTTAGGGTTTAGGGTTTAGGGTTTAGGGTTTAGGGTTTAGGGTTTAGGGTTTAGGGTTTAGGGTTTAGGGTTTAGGGTTTAGGGTTTAGGGTTTAGGGTTTAGGAGGTTTTCAGGGGTTTAGAGGTCCGGATTATGAAGCTCAGGGCTCATGAGCTTAATACCCTACTCCAAGGCTTGACGCCTGTCCCTAGTCCCTACGACCCCAGAACATCCATAGCGTTGCTTAAATCCATGCATATCCTAAGCAACACCAAGCCCATTTACACCCTAAGCCACCAGAAGCAGAAAACACAACAATGCCCAAAGCTTTCTGCCAAGCCCCTCTAAGGGACATTTAGGGGAATATAAGGTACCCAATTCCCCAATTCCCTAATTCTCCCTACCAAGAACTATAGCGAGTAAAGCATTCCTAGACCCAGGAGTAACCTAGGAAAAAGGAAGAGCGCCCCCTTTGGTTAAAAGGGGATTATCAAGGCTAAGAGAAAGGAATCAGGGCCTACTCTGGGTCCTAGCAACCCTAAATTCTAAAGCCGCGAACATGGGAACAAGGGCATCCTCTGAGTCCTAGCAACCCTAAACCCTAAACCCTTTAAAAATGAGGGCCTACTCTGGGTCCTAGATTCAGATGCTTGGCTCGAAGACCCCCCCTAAACCCTCAACCCTAATAGCCTAAACCGTATATAACGCAAGCTTGGCCCTAAAACCCTATACCCAGTTCTGAAGTCATCCGCGAAGCTCGCTTCGCTGCCATCCCTGCCAAAAAAGAACAATGAACGCGCACACATGTGTGTATATATGTATATAGAGACATACAGAGATTATCATTCTTGTCTATAGCGATTTCGGTTTGTATGGGTTTGGTTGTGTTGAGAGGGAAAGGTTTGGGGTACAGTTTATGTTATGTTGCTTGTTTGTTGGTGTTGATTTGTTCTCATGAAGGGGGGGGGGTAGGGCTTTATGAGCTCCGAAAATGGCAGTTCTGCAGGGGTATTGATAAATAGGGCAAGAGTAAGTACCCTAATCTAGATTATGCTATCTGGTTCTTATCACAGCATCTCTGACTCTGAACGAACCTTCATGCATGAACTGTGGAGGTACGCGAGTAATTATGGAGGCTCAGGCCATGAGGTGTAGCCGAAATAAATACTTGAAGCGATGCACATTGGTGCACGAGAGCCGGGGGGGGGGGGGGGGTGAATCCATCTGTGCCTTCAGGTGCGCCTTTTTCTACAGCGAATGCGTTCGCGCACCACCACTCTTCGTCCCAGACAATTTACGTTACCCCAAATCTTACAATGGGCCTTCTACATTGGATCCGGGCATTCGAAGTTTCGGATATCGAAATGCCGGTTGTTCCGATAGTCAAGAAGAACCGAGGTTACAAGCCGCAACGTTGGCCAAGAGCCTTCGTATGCTCATGTTCTGCAAATTAAAGCTGAGAACCGTGAATTCCAAACCCTCAACCTGAACAAAAAGACCCTACTCCAACCCGCCCACGCCATAAGCGACCGAAACCAAAACCTCAACACCCTAAAGCAACCCGCCCCTCCCCCATGACCAGTCTGCCTGTTTCTCGGATGCCAGCTTCTCGAGTGCCTGCCCCGAAGTCCCCCCCCTCCTTCCCCCAGCCCAACTTCATAGGGACTTCATGACCTCATGTAGATGGCCAACTTTGGGAGGGTTTACTGTTAGGGGGGACATAATTTCAGTAAAGAAGCGAGGTGACTTGGGGAGGGCCATGGCAAGACGCATAGGATTTTCTCGTTGTCTAGTACTCGTGGGCGCTCCTTCACTGTGTGCTTTCTGGTTTTTTTCATGCTGTTTAACTAGGCTGCCCAGTAACCTAGGCTGAAAAAGGGTGCCCTTTTTTGCTTAAAGGGGTTTATAAGGGAACCTAAACCCCCCAAAAAGGGAATAAGGGTACTACTGGGCATCCTAGTTAATGGGTTCCACGAGATGTGACATAGAGGAAATGAACACAGATTCTAAATCCAGTACATGATGTATTGCACCGAGAGAGGAAAGCAAGCTGACAAAAACGCGACTGGACCTACATAGTGCCGCACACTGCGCTTACTTCATGGGCTTGCTCGGTTGTTCCTCTGATTTGTGTAGGCTAAGGACCCTTTGTCGGGCTCTTTCAGGCTGCATGTTGCTTCATGTCACATGCTGATTCACTCAACCACTCAGCGAACAGGGCAGCAAGCATCAGAATCAGCAACATAACTCGCACAACAAAAGGCGGAACTGAAGATTTACGATGCTGCAGGCAAAGACCAACAAGTCCCAAAGAATCAGGAAAACAGCCCTTTGCAATTAAGAGAACGCCTCGGCATTGACGCCAGCACAAATCGTGAACTGGAACACCAAATCCCAAGCCTATTCCTCCACATTCCTAAGCCCTATACCCTAACGCCGCAAACAATGAGTTCTAGACCCTAAACCCTAAACTGCCCTAAACCCTAACACCCCAAGCTTATACTTATACCCCTACTTGTAACTTGTGGGGGGGGGGGGGGGCCTCCTCGCCCCGGCACTTCAACCCTCCCACTAAAAAAAGTGAACAGGGTTCCAAGATGACCCTTAAAAACCCTCTCTGAAAAGATTCCTAAGTATGATCCTCTGCAACCCACTAAAGGATAAACATACGATATCCCAACAAGGGCCTACCCAAGTTTAGGGTTTAGAGGCGAGGTGGAGGCCTGTCTTTGTGCATCTGCGTTGATCGGAATTCTCAGCTCCTGACAAAGGGGCGAGGCTTGCTAGGGGTGCCTACATGGTGGGTTAAAGGGTTTGGAGTCCCCTGAACCCTAGATCCTAAACCCTAAACTTTAAACCCTGAACCCTAGATCCTAAACCCTTGACCCTAGAGGGTTTAGGGCCTAGGGCCTACAGGCTCACTGCAGGGATGGTCATGCCGGCAGTTGCTTTGCTGTTGGGGAGGGGTTGTCCCGAGTTTTCTGACTCAGACCCTAGACCCTAAACCCTAACAATAAACCCTAAACCCTAAATCCTAAACCCTAAACCCTAAACCCTAAACCCCAAAACCCCAAAACCCCAAAACCCCAAAACCCCAAAACCCCAAAACCCCAAAACCCCAAAACCCCAAAACCCCAAAACCCCAAAACCCCAAAACCCCAAAACCCCAAACCCGGCTTCCACCTCCCTGCATCGGCTTTCAGGGCTTCAGGCTTCCAA